TTTGCGGTAGTTGACCAGTTCACACAACTTTAGAAGTCCCTCCACCACCCTTTGTTTTGAGTTGTGAGTGATACCACGTACACCGGCGTAGAGGTACAAGTGCTCCTCGACAGTGAGCAGGTCCAGACAGGCGTCAAACTGGGGGCAGTAGCCGATGCAACGGAGTGCGGATTCACTGTTATTGACAATATCGTACCCGCAGATGCTGCCGTGGCCGGAGGTGGGGTAGAACTCTTGGCACAAGATGGAAATCGTCGTCGTTTTACCGGCACCATTCGTACCAAGAAACCCGAATACCTCCCCGGGCTTCACGCCAAACGTAATGTTACGAACCGCCACCTTACCGTTGCCGTACTCTTTGCGCAGGTTGCGCACCTTGACCAAGTCTCCCTGACGCTCCTCCGTCTCTACCAGTGCCCGCTCGGCGACCACGTCGGGGTCTTCATTCTCAATTTCTTCCGGCTCACGGTCGGGGTTATGGAACATGCGCTGGGCGCGCTGCCGGCGGCCGGGGTGATCAATGAAGAGCGTAATAAAAGCAAAGACGGGAATTTCAATCGCCATGTAGATACAGAGCCAGCCGATGCACTCCAGGCTAAACGCCTTCTTGTCGGAGCCAAACGCCTTTTCAAGATTCAGCGTGGCCAAGTTGCCAATGCCTTCACCGACACAGTAGGTGGGGACAATACGGAAGATCCATCGGAGTATATTTCCAATGTCTTGTGTGTTTTCTAGCATACGAAGCGCGGAAATGGCCAGGACCAGACAGAAACCAACAATGAAGTTGGCCAGCATGACGACGTTTTGGGCAGTGGAGTAGTCATCAAACAGAAAACTGATGCTGTACGACATGAAGACGCCCGAAATACCGTACATGAGAAACAGTATAATGGTGGCGCCCAAGTTTTCGCCTTCAATGTACTCTTTGCGTTGAAAGATGCCGAACACTGCAATGACAAGGAACATGGTAATAATGTAACAACCGAGGTCGAAAAGAAAGTTCGACAGCCAGTACACATAAAAGCTTAAACCGGACACATTCTGCAAGTGTCTCGCCTTACTGGACCTCTCCTTCACGATCCAACCCACAAAGGTGGACGGGATAAAGGTAAAAGGAATCATAATGATGCAGGCAATCATCATCGCATACAGGGAGGACTGCACGGCCTCTTGGCTTGCCGTCTTGGGTAACGGTTCGTTCTTGGTGATCACGTCGCCAAGGTGACCCTTCTGCTGCAAGTACGACCGGTAGTAGTTGGACGTCTCCAGTGGAATTTCATGCGGCGAGCTAAAGTTGTAGAACACGTTTGGCTGTGCGTCGCAGAAGAGAGCGCCGTAGCGGTAAACCGAGTGCGGTGTCGTTAGTAGTGCATCCTGGAAACTGGAGAGAGTCGGGTAGTCCCAAAGCAACGTCTCTGCATCGGCAAAGAAGGGCCTCGACTCATCGAGCACACCGGCACACCCACCCACGGGGATTTCAATCGACTTGTTGTAGATATTCTCGCTCAGCGTTAGCGTCGGGGAGGCTCCAGAACTTGATGAGGGTGAGCAACATCGCCAGCAAGACACAGACGACGGGGCAGATGATTTGAAAGAACAGCGTGCGGAAATCGCGAACGCCATTCCAGAAGCGTTTCACCATCATGGCACGGAACTGCGACCACAGAAGGTGGCTTCTCTTTTCGATGAGCTCCACGTTCCACACCGCACCCGCACCATCCGCCGCCACCTCAGCATCGTGCTCCTCGTGCTCCAGGCCTTTCTCGGCGATCTGCAGAAAAATTTCTTCGAGTGTGGTGGCGGACAGGGAGTACGCCTTGATGCCCAGGTCATCGCTCTTGTCCTCAATGGTGGTGAGCAAGTCGGGAAACGTCTCTTTGGATTTCATGGGAAGACGGTAGGACATCTCCCCAGCGCCGCAGCTGAGCGCCTCGGCATTCGGGACAAACTGGCGAACGGTGTTTTCAATCGGGGGACGCTGGACGTGCGGGATGACGGACATGGTAATGATGAACCCAATGCCCAGCTGTGACTTTAAAAACATATTGGACCCACAGCACTGGAGTCGTCCTTGCGACATGATGGCCACTGTGTTTCCGAGGAGGTCCGCTTCGTCCATGAAGTGCGTACTCAACAGAATAGTGTGGTTGCGGGACAGCCGCTTTAGTAGTCCCCACGTGTGTCGACGGGCTCCCACGTCCATACCAGCGGTCGGCTCGTCGAGGAAGATCAATCGGCTTCCCCCGACAAAGGCCACACTGACGGACAGCTTTCTCTTCTGACCACCAGACAAGGCATCCGATCGGTAGAACTCCTTCTCCTTGAGGTCCACGCCGGCCAGAAGCATCTCTACCGCCCGATCGCGTGTCTCCTTCTTTAATCCTTTGAGGGCGGCATAATAGTCCAAATGCTCTCGCACGGTTAACTTTGGCCAGAGAATGTTGTGCTGTGGGCACAGACCGATTTCCTGTCGCGCCTTGCGCTTCTGCTTCACGATGGACTTGCCGTAAATGATACAGTCGCCCTTGTCCGCCGCCAGCATGCCTGTCATCAAGTTCATGGTGGTGGATTTTCCCGCGCCGTTGTGTCCGAGCAGGACCGAGATCTCTCCCTGCTTGAGCGACCAGTAGAGGTTGTTCACCGCAAGGAAGGATTTGCCCCCGCGCTTAAACTTTTTGCGCAGTCCCAGAATGCGAACGGGTGCGCTTTCCTCGTCCTTGATCTCTTCAAATACCCCGTCCTCCGCGCGACCGTCGTCGTATTCTCCTTCTTCCCGCTTGCCTCGGCAGCAAATTGCCTTGATCGGGTCAATAATAAAAAAGAGCGGATTCTTTGTCGTGCCCCATTGCTTGGGGATGACCATCTCAAAATACACCGTTAACAAGAGGTACAACAGAATGTCAATGAAGAGGAAAATGAACACAATGAGAAGCGTCGGGGAGTCGGACTTGGAGTTTAACTCGGCAATTTGCGCCCCGCCCTGCATTTCGTGTTCGAACAACAGTCCTATTCCGACCGAGAGAGCGCTAGGACTAAGGAGGCATATTCCAGTCTTCCCGCTCGGGCTCACACTCTGCATGGCGAAGAGGGGGATCGCCATGACAAAGTAAATGAGCGGCGACAACAGGGCGGACAGACGGGCCTTACTGAAGAGACCCGCAATCGCAAAAGACAGGGCCACTGCCGAGTAGGAGAAGAACAAAAACAGGAAAAAGACGTAACCGAAGCTCGTATTCGGGAGGTACGAGAAGCGAAGGACAATTGCCGTGATGAGACTCACGACGGCGTACATGATCATATACACCAATGCCCAGGCGAGGTACATGATTCCCTCTGAGAGACCCATGATGAGCATAGCCTCGCGAATGCGCAACTCCTTCTCGACGACGATTCGCTTCGTCATTTGCGAAACGGGATACAGGAAGCCGAGGACAATCACAAGAGGGGCGAGCATCCCCCCTACTGCGAGGAACTTGTGGGCCACAAAGGAAGGCGTGGGCATCGGCGTGTAGACGACCGGTTCCACGACGTCCAGCTGTAGGACCTCGGTAATGTAGTAGTCATACACCATTTTCTGCAGCGTGGCGAAACCGGAAAGAATGTAATTGACGTTACCGCCTGTCTCCTTCCCTCCTAGGTAATTCTTGTTGATCACACTAGCAGTAGACGGGATGGCCGTCGCGTTGAGGCGGATGCTCACGTCAAACTTCTCGGTGGAAAAAGCATCTACCTGAACGACCGCCCACACGGGATCGTTTTCGTTGGAGTGATCACGTACATAGTTGCTGGCGGCTTCCGCGGTGTCGTAGATGCCGCCGAAGATGACCTTAAAATACGCACTTGTGGTATTAAAGTACTCTACAAGGTTTTCCACTTCGGGGCTTTTGGGAGCAAATAGTATTTTACCACCCTTCAGCGCCTCATTCGTCACAAATTTAGAGAACTGCTCGTCCATGAGGCACCAGTGATAGCCAATCACGTCATCTAGCAGCGGTGCCTCCGCGCTGGTGAGTTCGACCAGCTTGGTCACATTCGTCGCCACCATTCCGAGCATCCTATCGTAACAGAATCCTTCCGGTATGGTGGGACCGGTAGGGCAGTAGACGGCAGACATATTCGTGCAGGAAGGAAAATGCGTCGCGGTGAGGTTGGCATCGGTACAGAATGAATTACGTAACAGCGAGAGTGCCCCGCTGGCGACGGTAGGGGCGAGGGCATTGTAGTACAGTGTGGTGTCCTGGTCCTGCTTCCCAAAGATGACCCACAGCACCACGGAGCCGATGACGAACAAGATGGGTATAATAAACTCGCACACCGTCGCGCAGCACTCACGCTTCATGAGACGGAGCACTCTCAGCATGGTGTGGCCGAGTTGCATACAGCAACCACCGCGGGCCTCATTGAAGACGTCATCTTGGTTGTCGTCGCTTGCACGGCGAAACACATTGTACTCGTCGCTAGAAGGGCTATCGGCCTCATTCGTCGCGGCGATGAACTCTCCGCTGACCACCACTTCACTGTTTCTCTTTTTGAATCCATCGGACTGCGACGATATGCCCCGATCCGATGAGCGGAGCGACCGTGCGGGTTCCATCGCGTCCATATGAGTGTCTGATGCCTCTCTTGGTGAGAACGCCATTCGTTCTTCTGATGGTTTTTGAGACATTTGAAAATAAAAAATTAATACAACTAAACAATAATTAAAAAAAAAAAAACGAATTACAAGTGAAAAAACGAAGTTCTAACGTTCACTAGGTTAACTAATAATGAGAAGAGGAAGAGAGGGAAAGAAAGATCAAAAGCAAGCTGGTTGCAGCACAACACAAAACCGTTCATTAGACTTGACAACAGAATTGGTATTGTCCTTGTAGCCACATCACAGCATCGTCTATGTGTGTATTAGTTCTAGCACTTGTATACTAACCCGGGGCGCGAGCAATGCACGACAGCGGGAAGCGACAGGGCATACGAGGGATACGTGTAGTAAAAGAGGAAGTAGTGAATCTGGAACCAGAAAACGACCATTCATGGAGAGTAAAGATATATACTCCATGTGGTAGCTGGTGGTGCTGTGAACAATGCAAACACAGAAAAATAGCGTCAGTAGCCCTGAAGGGTATCGGATCATAACTTTCACAATATCAGAAGCGGAGCAGGGATAGTGTCATCACAACCATATAGAACAATAACAACAAAGAATAAGCAGAGGAGGTGGGATTGAGAATAAACCAAAAAGAAATATAACAAACGTCAGTAGCCCTGAAGGGTATCGGATCATAACTTTCACAATATCAGAAGCGGAGCAGGGATAGTGTCATCACGTCAAATGAAGGACATATTCTTTTCTATCTTAAGTGATGAACCTTTGTAAAGGAAAGGGAGAGGAGGTAATTGAAGTATCGTAAACAGCGCTGGGTCACAGGAACTCTTTCCGTTATTCGCTCTTTGTATATTTTTTCCTTTTCTTTTTAACGAAACATGTAACTATATAAAAATGAAAAAAAAAGGTGATGACTGTGTGGTGGAAAAATGTGTGGTATTTTTACTGCTATCATAAAAATATTTTTGGTCTTTTGTAAATGAAATAAAAAGTTTTAAAAAGTGAGTGTACTGTCCATTTTTTTACTTCTACAGAACACGCCTACTTTTTTTTCCTTTTTCTGTGAAAACTACAATTTCATATCCTTTAAGGGAGTGGATAGTTCTTTCACCGTGAGGTAGCCGCCGCTCACCAAACTCTTCTTGGATATCTTCCCCGACTTCAGATCCTCCTGCCGCTTTTGGTACAGCTCTGGCTTCAAGTCCGGCTTCCCGGTGATGATCACTCGCTGGCACATGCCTACATCCTCGAAGCGGTTGTTGTGGATGGCAGCTATACACATTGGTTTGGCGTCCTTCTTTCCCTTTTCAAAATCCGTGTACTCGATAAAGGTCCACTTCATGGGGGTAGTCGAGTTGGCCGGAATACGGGACAGACCCTTGGCCACTAGAGTGCTGGCGTATCCCACGTCCGGACTGGCCCACTGCGTTTTCGCAATCTTATCCAACAGCTTTGGCTCAATCGCGTCGTAGGATTGTTCCTTTTCGTCTGAGTTGATTTCCAGTGTAATGGGACACTTTTTGGGAATCTCCTTCTCGTTCAAGTATTGGTAGCTAAACCGCATAGTGGATACTTTTCGATTGGCCACACCGTCGGGGTCCATCACAAAAATGTATTCCCGGAAGTCTTCAAACTTGCGCTGTGTCGCTCTCCGGTGGAAGGACTCCTGCTTAATGCGTTGCGTGTCGGCCGCCAACTCCCTCCGCTGCGGGGCATCTCGGAACAAGTCTTTCGTGGCCTCGTCCACTTCCATCGGCATCGGCGGGGGCAATCCCTCGTCCATCCGCTTCACTCGGTTATTCTTCGCCACGAGAAGGTGGTTCACCGTGTAGTACCGCTCTATGCTATACAGCAGGACGATCACGACGGTCAGGAGGGAGAGAAGAATCTCATACCCATCGAAGACCGCCATCATCTCCCCCATCCGTCCTTTTCGCTTCGAGGCGTTCTGGCGGTCTACGTTCTCCCGCTCCTCTTGCTGCTTCCGTCGAACCCGCTCCTGTTCCGCCCTAATCGTGGAGTTTCGCTCCTCCCAAAACTCTTTACTATTGCGAGGGGTTTGTTTGCTACCAAACGCCGCATTGTCGGCGCTTTCCTTGGACTTGCGGTACTGCGAGCGAAGTACCCTATACGCTGCGTTTATTTCACGAAACTTGGCCTCGTCTCCGTCGGGTTTATCGGGGTGATACTTTTGCGTCAGAAAGTGGAACCGTGTTCGGACCTCCTCGAACGGCGTCCCAGGCTCTACCCCCAACACACGGTGCGGATTGACAATGCGGTTCTGACGAAGTGGGAGGCACCTCCTCAACATTTACGGTGTCTATTTAGAAGACTAGAATGAGAGAAGAAAGAGTGTAGGACATGCGCTTCAAGACGCGAACTATCAGCTTGGTAGTTTCACGTTTGCTTCGCTTTTGGTGGATGTCAACGTTTTTAATTATTTATTATTATCATTCGCGAATTATGATTAGGATCGACTTGATTTTATTTTTATATTATTTCTCTTTATTAAAAATATAGGTATATGGTGTTTAATTTTTTAATTTATTTTTATTGATCGAGTGAGAAACAGGAAAAAAGGAAGGAAAAAAAAAAAAGCTAACGACGTCATGTGACACCCACACAACCAACCATGAACGAGCGTCTCCTTAGAAACCACCATCGTCCATTTGGGTGGACTTCTTCACCACGGGAATGTTGGAGCGAGCCCCACCGCGGCGACCGGATTGACCCCAAGTTTGATTCGAGTCATCCATCAGTGTTCTACCCTTTCCTCGTCCTCCACGGCCGCCGGCGCCGCCAAGGCCACGCGTACGGGCCAGGAAGGCATCGCCCTCAATTTCCTCCGCTTCCCTCTTAAACCAGTCGGGGACCTCCTGCTCGTGTTCGTTGAAGTACTTGTACAGCTCCAGGCACAGTTCACGCTTCTTTCGGTTGTAAAAGGCGGTGGCGGTACCCTTGTTACCAGCACGTCCAGTACGACCGATACGGTGGGTATAGTCGTCAATGTTGTTGGGTAAATCGTACTGAATCACATGGGTCACGTTGGGGATATCCAAACCACGAGAAGCCACGTCCGTCGCCACGAGAATGGGGGTCTCGCCAGCCTTAAAGGAGGCCAGCGCCGCCTCTCGCTCCTGCTGCTGGCGGTTACCGTGGATGGAGGAGCTCGGAATGCCTTCCCGCATAAACTCCCTCGTCAGGTTCTCCGCCGCCTTCTTGGTTTCGACGAAAATAAGAACCAGATCGGACTTCTTGTGTTGAAAGATGATGTCAAACAGGCGGTCTAGCTTTTCTTCCTCCTCCACCTTCTCGATCACTTGTGTAATGTTCTTTGTGGTCGAACCCACACGTCCTACCGTCAGTAAGTAGTACTGCTTCTTCAGATACCGCTTCGCCAGGTTAAGGACGCGTTGGGGGAACGTGGCGCTGAACATTAACGTCTGACGCTCCTCCACGGGTGTCATGTCGGTATATCGGGAGTTGACCAAGTACTCAATCTGCTCCTCAAATCCCATCTCCAGCATGCGGTCCGCCTCATCGAGGGCTAAGAACTTCACCTTCTTGAACGAGATGGACTGGCGGTCAAAGAGATCCTTCAGTCGCCCAGGGCAGGCAACGAGGATGTCGTTCTCAAACCGCGTGGGGTAGGGCGTGCCACCGTAGGCAACGTCGTAGAAAATGTCGGTCCGGAAGGTCAGCTTCCGAACTTCGTCGAAGATTTGTAATGCTAACTCTCTCGTGGGGGCTAGGATGACACCGATAGGGAGGGACACGCCTCTTTCCGCGGGAGAAACACCGTACACCAAAATAAATTGAATAATAGGAATAAGGAACGCAGCGGTTTTACCAGAGCCGGTCTGCGCGCACGCCATTAAATCGTGTCCCTCCAGCACGACTGGAATACCGAAACGCTGCACGGGAGACGGCTTCTTGTACCCGCACTTGCGAATGTTATCCATCAGCGCGTCCGTCACGGCCAATTCCTCAAAGTCCTCCACGGGGGCAACATTTTTAGGCACAATTTCGGCGGGAATATTCGCGTAGTTGTCCAACGAGACGTTCAGCTGATCGTGATGCTGGGTGAAGAGCGCCAACACCTCCTCCTCGTTGCGGCAGTTCTGACGCAGGTGGGGGGCGCGCTGCACTCGTTTGGGCTTGCCGGACTGCTGAGTCTCGGCATCCCGCGCAGGCTCGGCCTGGTCAACCCCCCTGGGAGCGGTGGGATCTTCGTGACGGGCATTGCCGCGGTTGAACGGCCTGGTGTACGCCTCGTCCCTATTTTCACGTTGAAAGCCATCGTCGCGACCTCTACCACGGCCACGACCACGGCCTCGGCCTCTCCCGCGGAACTCCCCATCGTCCTGGCGGTTCTGACCACGGTTAAACACGGCGAAGCGGTCCTCCCCGTCACCGTGAGGGGCGTCATTGTTATCGTAGTTGTTGTGACGAGGTTGATAGTTTCCCCTGTGGTTATTGCCACGGTAGTTATGGCTATTGTGGTGGTAGTTCCCACCTTCCTCGCCGCCGTAGCCGCCTTCACCGTCGTGGTGGTAGTGTTGCTCATTGTCGTTGTCATGGTACCCACCACGATTGCCGCGGCCACCCCGCCCGCGTCCACCGCGACCGCGACCACGGCCACGGCCTCCTCGTCCACGGTACTGGTTGTTGTCACCGTTCCCGTCGTTGTTGTAAGAGTGGTTGTTATCTCCGTAATCTTCCATTACTGTTAACTAATATAGCTATGAAATAATTTTGTTTATCCTGGAGTGAAAAGTTACGTGGAGAGTGAGGATGAGGGAAAGTTTTTTTAGTGGTTGACGCATCGAGCACAAACAAATACGGCTAGGAGGGACGTAGACATTTAATGATGAAAGACAACGGGACGAACAGTTGTTTAATGGTTATTTTGTTTGTTGTTGTGAGAATTATTCGTTAATTAAAAGTTAGCTGTGTATGTTCCGCTGCGTCTTCCATAAAGGGGGAAAAAAAAACTCAAGGAATGAAAAAAAAAAGGAAATCCGAGCATCACTTGCCGTCTACTTTGTCAATATGTACTGTGTCAAGAAAGAGTTGCAGTTGCGATAGATACTTTTGCCAATCCTGTTCCGCCACCTCCCAGCGCATTAGTAGAATAGACTTCTGACGCGGGATCACCACACTTCGGCACGTCACCCCATCCTTCGTCTCGGTGAACTGAACACCAGAGTATCCACTACGTTCTACCATGTCGCACGCGGTCTGGGTCGTTTCCCACTCGGTAAAGTGGAATTTCACATTGTGCAGCAGCACCTCCTTTTCATCCGTGCCATTGACCTCCCACGTTTTGGGGAACTCGGTCAGCTGCTCGATCGTAAACTTGGGGAGCGAAAAGTCCGTGCTGACGCCACAAGGGAAGTACAGGATGGTCTCCCGTTCTACCAGAATGGGATCGAACACGACACCCGTCTCGTTGTGTACCGAAAAGAAGA